ATAGATGCGTAAGAATGATTGGATTATATATTTAATTATATTTATAATATTGATAATATCATAGTTGAGTTGAATGAATTGAGTGATAATTTTTGTATACAAATATGCTCTTAGGTTATAAATTATAATTTTTATATTATAGAATTATTTTTAATATTTTGTAAATTAATTTGTATTAAATAAATTTTTATTTTTTTATAAAGTATCATGTTAAAATATAAATATAAATATAAATATAAATATTTATATATAAGTAACATATTATTAATAACTACTAAACCAAAATTTATCTAAATTAACCTAAATCAAAAGATTAATTCAATTTTATCTTTAAATATTTAAACATTTAAATTATTTAGTTCTATTTTTTAAATAATTTCAATTTATTTTTTATTCAAATTTATTTTTTAAATAATTTAATTATAACAAAATTAAAAAGAAAAAGAAAATCATCCAACTGAGTTTTTTTTTTTCTTTTTAAATTTTTAAAAAAATGTCAACAGCAAAACGGTACGAAAGAGGGCAATACTCCAAAAGAGGGCAATACATAGTAAAGCAGAGGGGCGCTATTTAGTAACACCCAAAGTAAAAGAGAGATAATGTGAATGAAGATCAATTAAAATTATGTAAGTGAATGAATAATTAATTAAAGTTGATATTTAGTAACAGTGTAACACCCAAAGTAAAAGAGAGATAATGTGAAGTGAATATCAATTAAAGTTATGTAAGTGAATGAATAATTAATTAAATTGATATAATAGCATAAGAATAATGAATTAATATTACTTAATTATATTAATAATATTGAAAATTGTAATATCCCGAGATATTATTAGTATGAATTACGTTTAATTCCGATATAGTAACGTTATCGTTTATTATTTTCGGAATTAGTTAAGTTCAGTCGGATTACCGAAATCTATTTTCGGCGTACCGTTTACGTCCGAAATAATTTTGGTAATTAAGTATTATGTTTAATTTAACAATTAAACATCAAATGAGTGATTAATTAAATTTAATCACAAGTTAAGTATTTTTTTTACCCTAATTAGCCGTGCACATCATGGGAAATTTTCCAAAAATCAATCTAAAATGCCGTGAGCTTCCTTAGTTGTGAGGTAAGGTTTAATTAGCCAATGATTATCAAGCAAATGTCAACTAAAGAGGGTGCTTAGTCATCTAGTAAAGAAGGAGAAGGAGGCAAGTGTCCAAGCTAAGCTTAAGCCACGCCATGGCCACAACACCTCACCACCCTCACGGCTCTCTATAAAAGCATGTTCTTGGACCAAATTTTTCCACATTTTTCCCCTATAAGCTCAGCATATCTCTTCCATTTCCCTCAGCAATCAGATCATTCAAGATTCTCCCAAAAACGTTAGCAATCGCTCGGCCAAATCAAACCAATCGCACGGCATCGGCTAGTACCGCACGGCGAGGAGAAGCGGCAATTTAAATCCGATTTCCGTCGAACGTTTCGAAAGGTAGGGTTCTGTTCAGATCATAATCTTAGTAATAAGTTCGGTTCAGAGTGAATTGCTTAGATTTTATTCGAGAATTTCACTTTAAACCGCACCAAAGTTCATATATGCTTAAGTATAGTAATCGCCGAACAAGTATTATTTTCTTCCGGCAAGTCATAGGTTATCATGTTCTTTTCAGCTTATATTTAAAGTATTAAGATCAGTCAAGTGTACTTGGTCGAAGGAAATGGATGATTGCCGGTGAATTGGCCAAAACCGTAGCTTGTGCCGATCGCACGCGGCTACGGACGGCCATGAGGCATGAGTTCGTATACCGCGCATGAGCCGTGACCTGTAGTGTTTATTTAGACTTAATTTAGTTGATCATGTTCAGTTATTCGAGAGTTGTCGGGGAAAAATGGAGTTTTGCCGAGGAAAGGCCCAGCCGGCACCCCACGCCTATCGCGCGTAACCTCGGGGTCGCCGTGGGCCGAGGCAAGTTGTTTAGTCTTGATCAGTTTTCCTCGTGTGATTAAGTTTTAATTTAATTCAGTATATTTATCATGTGATCAGACCCTGAAGTTGTCGAGTAGAATCACTCTTTGGCCGAGAAATGACCGAGGCCGTAGGCATCGCGTGTTGCGAGCGCGCCACGGCCGGAGGTCCGGTTCATTGAGTTAAATTCAG